CCCCTAGCGGCGGGGCGGGGGTGATCTCCGTGAGGGCAGCGGGGCGGGGGCGAGAGAATAAGCCGGGCCCGCGGGGCCTCCGCTCGTCACCTGCGCCGGAGGCTTACAACACCGAAACTTTGGTTACAACACTGAACACTTTCCTGTTCGGGAGCAGGCCAGGACAGGGCTGTTAAACCCTGAGTGTTTTGTTGCCGTGAAAAACACAAGGAAGTTCATCCGTTCTGTGTTTAATGGTATGCAGTAACAAAGGCACGGGATCGAGCAAATAAAAATGGGAAAATGAAAGAAATACCAGGTGGTTATCCAGCAATTTTCATTCACGGGGCATGCACTGCTCCAAAGCAGTTTCCCAGCCTGCCTAATGTATGTCTTAATTAAAGACTGAACTGTACACATCCAGTTTCTGAAATGAGACCACATTTAGAGCTATAAAAGGACTCATTTGCTAAGGAGAGGTGTTTTTCCAGCTCCAGTAGTTTGATAAAGAGCGATTACTAGTATGTCTCATCTGGGCTTGGCCTAAGCCATCCCCACTGCCACCCTGACAGGAGCATGGTACTTGGCGCCCTTGAAGTCGTGGTCTGTCCTGTTCTGTGTGTCCTGTCTCTAAAGGTGATAGGCAAAATGTTATAAAGCTGCTATAAATAGGACTCCGTTTCACCACTGGTCTGATTACAGTGCCAAAGACTATGCTTCAAAGGACAGCAATATTAGCTGGACCATGTACTTCCCTTGCTGTTAATGCAGCTGAACTGAGCCGTGTGCTGCATGGTGAGGAACTTGAGCAAAAAACTAAGGTAAATAAGACCTTGTCCCATTCATCAGTTAAGGAATTTAGGCCGCATTCCAGTCAGTAATTGAAACTCTAATTATCTTGACAGCTTTCCACTGAATGTGAAAGAATCCTGTTCGGCCAGTCCTGCAGGCATAGCCACAGGCAAGTAATGTTCTGGTGGCACACTCCCCATGGCATCCACCAAGCAGGAAGTTCATTGAGAGCAAAATAATATGACTAAGATTATATCAAAGGTCAAATGTATCATAAAGTAAATACAGTACCTATAAGTACTAATATCTTCTAATTTACTTTCCAGTATGTAAATCTACACT